TTAGAAAGATTATTTTAGGGGCATCTGGCTGACTCAGTCAATAGAGCATGTACTCTCGATCTTGAGGTTGTGAGTTCAGCCCTGTGTTGAGTGTGGAACCACTTAATTTAAAAAAAAAATTAGGATTATTTTAGAACCTTTGCAGGATTGGAAGGAGAAATAGTACAAATGTAGAATAGTTAGAACACCGACCGAAATTTAAGGATGGGGTGGTAAGTTCCTAAATTGGTGAGACTTGGGAAGGAGTAGTTTATAGATTTCCTGAGAAAAAGATGGCTATTTACAATAGAAGCATAAGTAATCTTAATGCATTTTAGTCAGAAACAAATTATTCTGGAATTCTATATTGCACTACTTACTGTATATTTGAGAATAAGTACCTTTCTTGTGTTCTCCATTAATATTAATTGCTGTCATTTCTTAATCTATTTCACGATTTGGGAGAACTTTAAAAACTGAATGTCAGATTAGTGAGTTTAGTCAAGGTCCGGGTCCTTGTCGAACAATCAGTTATTTACTTTGTTTATAATTTCATACAACCCCACTGGGGGGGGGAAAAAAAAACAAAAAACCTGTTCTACCAAATAACCTCTATGAAAATATAAACCTCTGTATTTCTGTAACACACTGAGGTCAGTGTTCTTATTTGAGAATCTGAGCATATGTCAATTTTTTATTAAAGAGAACTGAATTTTTTGCCTATGCCTTCAAGTGAACCTTCTAAAATGTTCATATGTAAATGATCAGTGTGCAATTAATTCTAAAAAATTAACTGCTCTTGTTGGGCCAGTTCCATGACCAGACACAGAGTGAATAGTATTGAGTTATCGGGACATACAGTATTGTAAATGATCAGACCTTGTGTACTTGAGTTAAGTCTGTAGTGTAAGTCTGCATGTGTATTCTCACAGGAGACTGTAAAATGTAGGCATGCTTTCAATTCATGCAGTCCGTGATTTATGGAGGCACATAGGTCAGGAGTTTATTATGCTGAAAATCATAATAACTGTTTTGTTCTGCTTTTTAAAATGAAGTAACCAAAGCATGTTGAAAGGTAAATGGGTGAACCATTTGATTATGCTTTTATTTCTATTAAAGATTAAATATTATTGCTGAGTAACCAGCCATGCTAAGTATTATGATATTAAAGCTGAAGTAGTTTGTAAGCTGATAGCCCCTTCTTTCCTCTGGGTTTAGGTTTGTTATTAATCAAAATGTTGGACTTGTTTAATGCAGTGGTGTATGAAACAAACAGTTGAAAAAGACAGCTACTTTAATTTACGGCTTTCTGTTTTTTTCAAATTTATAGGAAAATCTGTTTCTCTTTGTGGACTTTGTGTTGTTATTCACATGTTTAGAGTTCAATTCTTATACCAGAGACAACTAAATCCAATAGTTGCTAGATACTCTCATAGGATAGAAAGGAGGAAGGTGCCTATAAGGGTTTTTGTTTGTTTGTTTTTTAAGATTCTCATTTATTTATTTGACAGAGAGAGATCACAAGTAGGCAGAGAGGCAGGCAGAGGGAGAGGAAGGGAAGCAGGCTCCCTGCTGAGCAGAGAGCCCGATGTGGGACTCGATCCCAGGACCCTGAGATCATGACCTGAGCCGAAGGCAGCGACTTAACCCACTGAGCCACCCAGGCGCCCCCTTATAAGGTTTTAATTGACAAGTTCTGGTAAAGTCATTTTTGAAATGTGGGCAGTCCTAATAGAAATGGGTATTACCAAAAAAATCCATCTGTATTTTTGGACAGAGAGAGCAATAATTTTTGAAATAGAAAATGTATATATAGAAAAGATATTATAGAAAAGATATATAGAAAGATATTAATAAGGACAGTGGTTTTGTTTTTCACTATCAATACAGGAATACTGAATAAAATTGTTTAAAGGGTATGTTTTGAGCTACTTCCTGGTTTCGGCTTAGGTATCTGCACAAGAATCATTTGCTAAACACTTAGTGAAATGCAATGTAGGGTCTGTACTCCCCACGATGTGTGGTAAAGAACCTTCAAAAGGACATCCTGCCACCCTTCTAAACTTGTTCCTCAGAAGTGCAAATACACTTACAGTTCCTAAAAAGTATACTCTGTGGGGAATGCAGAACAGATCGTAAGACATGTCAAAGAAAAAGACCACCTCTTATTACCTGAAACAAAAAGTTTAATTTATTACTTAAGTAAGGAAGAGCTATGCTTTTAGGCCCAGTCCCGGCAAAGTGGGTTGCAAATCATTCATATAGAGTTTTGGGGTCAGAGATTATTTAGGGATTGACAGCCTCAGAAGCCCAATACCGACAAGAGACTGTGGGTGATTGGTGGGTTTCAGAAACATGATTAGTAGAGTCCACCATTGACTGATTAGCCAACTGTCAAAAGCATAAGGTTCTCACTGACTAGTTGGTTTTCAAAGGTGTATTTACTGAACTCAGTTGTCACTGAATTTTAGGTCTAGGCAGCTCATCATTAATTGATTAAATCCAGTTTGATTATGTTTCAAAGTGGTTCTAGTTGTTCTTTGTTAACCATGAATGTATAACAATCAGCCTTTGTCTAGGAGTTGGAGTTTTTTTATTCTCAGAAGCTAATATGTAAACACTGTAGGTAATTGAAAGCATAAGAAAATCAGACTTGAGGAATCCATTTAAATAACCAACAATCCTATGATGCATTTCCTTTTTCTTTCATACTTGTAGCTTCCAGGATTTTATTAGTATCTCCGATTGAAAAGTTGTAATCCAAACCCATGAATACCCTATCTTCTTCCACCCAAAGAGAATCTACAGATTTATCCTACTAAATTGTGTGATTATCCATGATAAAATTGATGCTATTTATTCTGTTACTGTAAACTTAATTCAGAACTCTTTTTTCTATTTCTTCCATTGAATCTATCTGTTCATCTTAAAAGAAGATAGAAACAATTTAAAATGGAAACTAAGGAAGCATGGGCCTCAGTATCACCATTTCTGAAATTATCTATCAGCATGGTTTTTCCACTGTACTTGCTATGGTAAAGAAGTCACTATATTTTCTGGTTTTCTTTTTTGTTGTTGTTTTGCTTCTTTTCCTTTTTTATACAGTGTTTTATATTAGATTTAGGTGTACAACATAGTGATTCAATTATCTACACCTTATACCATGCTCACCATAAGTGTAGCTACCATCTGTCACCATGCAACACTATTACAATGTCATTGACTATATTCCTTATGCTGTGCCTTTTAGTTCCATGACTTATTCATTCCATAAAGGGAAGCCTGTACATCCCACACCTCTTTACCCATTTGGCCCGTCTTCCCACCCCTCTCCCCTCTGTTTGTTCCCAAAGTTTGTTCTCTGCATTTATAGGTCTGATTCTGTTTGTTTGTTAATTGATTTGTTTGGTTTTTTAGATTGTACATCTAAGTGAAATGATATGGTATTTGTCGTTGACTTATTTCAGTAAACATAATACCCTCTAGGTCCACCTGTGTTGTAAATGGCAAGATCTCATATGATGCCTTTTGTAAAAAAGGGTGTTTACTAAAGCAAGAGAAATATAAGAAGTCAGCAGTTCTGACAGGTGATAGGGCATTTTCATGTATTGAAATTAGTTATGAAATCTGATGCAAATAACAAATTATTAATAATAAAGTATTAAAATGTGCATGTGACTTACCTCATTTAGTAACTTAAAGTAAATTCTAGGTCATCTGTATAATAATATCACTTGTACTAATTGCATTCCAGTAAGCTTTTCTGGGATGGAAGGGGTGGGAATGGTAGTTAAGACTCAACTTGTCAGCCCTCAAGAACAGTAGCTACTGAATGCTAAGTACCACTAATATTGTAAAATTTTATTTCTCTACAAAATCTTTTCTTCAAAACCTAAGTATATCCATGAGAGTTTATCACTTAAGTAAACTTCACTCAGCATTTGTGCTACTGCAGGGAAAAGGGGTGGGATAATTTGTGTTGGTACCTACTGCCCAAATCTCTGCTTGTTCAGGGGAAAGAAATTAATGTAATATTTGGGTTTCATGCGAAAGTTACAATGGGTGTATGGGGAGTGTTAATCCTATAGGCAATTTAGCTCTATCAGCTGTGATAAAGTGTTGGGTATGCCCACTTTAAAATTGCTTAACTAACAAGTGGGAAAAGCCTTAGTAGTTTTGTTTATATTATCAAAACTGAACTTTTCTCTTTCCAGATTCATTCAGCTGCCCTGAAATCTGGTCTTTGACTTCTCCATTTATTTCTGACACCTCCTAAGGGGGGCAGCGCTAATCACTTACATATTTCCCTGCTGCTAAGGATAGCCAGCTTATGACCACTTATGATTCAAGCACATGTTGATACCTTAAGACCAGTAAGCATTTGATAAAGTGGGAAAGCAGGATGGTTAAATTTGTTGTAATCAACAGTAAGAGGAGGAAATTAGTCCATGGAGTTATGCCAAAGCTTAGTTTCCTTTTGCACGAAAAAAAAAAATCTTTTTTTTTTTTACCCTGCAACTCCCCAGAAAAGGCAGTCTTAATACCATTTGAACAAGAATTTTCTTAACACATTCCTGACTCTTGACCCCTTTAACTGCTGAAAACAAAAAGATCAATAGGGCTGGTTTGTTGTCTGGAGTTCTGCCCTGCAACCCTGCCCACTCTGGCTAAGTGACTGTGCTCTTTAAAGGAAGTTGGGAAAATGATCTCTGAGTTTAGTTGAAGGAACACTTCTGGGTAGAATTCCTTAACCTCCCATCAGGAAAGGACCATCAAGTGAAGACTGAGGCAAAGAGACTCATTACTAAAAATACAAAGCAACAGAACAAACTCCAGACATGTTTTTCAATTTAAGTGTTTTCTGAGAAGTTGGTTTCCATGTGGTATAAGCACCAATAAACAATAAACCCATGTTGGTGTTCTCTACCCTTATGGTTCATTATGCCAAGGACAGGATAGTATAAAATTTCTACTTTCTGTTCTCCTGCCAAAATCACTGAACCATCTCTCTCCCTCTTCAGGATGTCGCATGTACTTCAGTTTGAGGATAAAACCAGAAAAGTGAAAGACGCAAGCATGCAAGATTCAGATACATTCGAAATCTATGATCCTCGGAATCCAGTGAATAAGAGAAGACGAGAAGAAAGCAAAAAGCTGATGAGAGAAAAAAAAGAAAGAAGATAAAACAACAGTAATGTTTAACTAGAACTAGCTAGAAATGTTCCTGTAATAAATGGCCTCATAACAGCCATTGTTCCCAACAGCATCACTTATAAGGGTGTGAAAAGAAGTATTTTCAAACCTGTTGTCTGGTTTTGAAGAACAGTTATCTTGTTATGTAAATTGTGGAATGATTTAAGCAAATGTTTTTGTTTACCAATACATGCTTTTCCCCCATTTGAACTTTTATATTGCTAAATCTGAAATAAAATAACTTTCCTGCCAGTTTACATGTTAACTATTTGTAGACTGTGCCAGCCTGTGTGTATCTCTTTATCCTAAATATATAAAGGCTTTGTTTTCAATATTTTTTTTTATAAGAAGTTCTTGCAAGAGAGAGTATTTAAGGGAAACATCCCTGGCATTCTGTTACCACATTACTGAACTTGGAATGTAATAAAAAAATACATAATATAAAGATTGATTTTTTTGTTGTTGTTGTTTTGGATCTAAGTATCTAAAAATAGCCACATCAGTAAGACTCAGTAGCCCCATGCCATAATGCTTGAGGATTCCCCAAGGGAATATTCTCACCTTCATCTAAGCCAGCACCTGGGTTTTATAAGTGTAATCAAGACATTAATACACTGAGTTGTATCAGCCAAACTTTACTGCACACACTGGCTGATACAGGGCTACCAGTCTACTCCCCTGCCCTTCTCGGCATAGCAACAGCAGGAGAACATGCAGAGTTCCCATTCTAGCAAGAGAACTAACTCATAAAGAATTTAGCCTTGTTGAAAACCACTCATACTGGTTATTTACTATATGTTATCTTTTTTTTTACCCAGTTTTTCTGGAATCCGAATCCTCAAATTATACCACAGGCTGACTTTCAGTTACCTAATAAAACCTCGCCAGCCACATTTTTTTCAGATAGTGTCTCATTGACTCTCTTTTCCCAAATGTAATCCGACAGACTTTCTCTAGAGCACTTGTTCTCAAACTGTAGTCCCCAGTATTACACTGCAGTGGCAACAGTATCACTTGGAGACATGTTAGAAATGCAATCTATTGCCATATTCCCCCCCACCACCACTCTACCTCAAGATTATTGAATCTGAAACTTCAAACCGAGAGGATTTTTTTTACACAGATTGCTGGCTTCACTGCAGTTGATTCAATCTTTGGAGCATGGCAATATCTAGTGAAGTTAAAGATATGAATATCCATTTATCCAAAAATTCTAATCCCAGGTCTGTCTCCTAAAGAAATTCTCACACATTGCTCAAGGAGACCTGTACTAAGTATATATTGAAGCATCAACAAAAGAATGGATAACTAAGTTGTTGTATATCCATACTATGGAATACTATGTAGTGAAAATCAATAAGCAAGAGTTATATGTATGAGCTTATCTTAAAAATAATGTGAAGAAAGGGAACCATCTATATAAAAATTTAAAACACAACACAGCATTCTATTTTGTTTAATGATGTACACGATTAGCAAAAGTATAAAAACATGAATGAGAATAGTGATTACCTCTGAAGAGGCAGAAGTATAGGGGCTTCATTTGTGTTTGTAATGTTTCATTTCTTAAGGGAGATGTTAGGTACTCAAACCTCATTATATTCTCTCTATATTCCAGTATGCCTGAGATATTTCATATTTTTTCCTTTATGAGCATATCTAGAACCTGAGGTGAGAAGACAGAAGGACTCCTAGTAGTAAAAAGAACACTTTCTTTTTTGCTTCAGAAATAGGAGAAAGTTTCAAAGAGAAGGAGAGGGATATGATAGTGGTATTCGAGGAAAACATCAACCCACTCAAAAGCAGGGTGATTAGACACAAACCCACGAAAATACAAGCCAGTGTTCAGAAGTGTGCCCAGTCTTCCCCTCACCACAATATCAGTTGTTTTACAGATATTCACAAAGCAAATTATGTTTTCCAAACTCACAAAGTTTCTGTTAGTCATTCAGAAATACATTAGCACTGGATTCGTTTATACCGTATAATCCTATAGGTTTCTTTCTGTTTCTACTTGAATGTGTCCATCTTTAAGAACAGATGGGACCAAAGGCCTCCAGGGCACAAGCCAGAAGAATAGTATTTGTAGGTGTAAAAATATAACTGAGTGACAAAATTAAACCCTCAAGTTGGTTGATGCTCCTTATCCTGCTTGAACCATAAAGAGCAGAAAAATCTGAAATTTTACAGAGATTAGAATCCCATCTGAAAATTTCACCATGATAATAAAATTCACTTAGAAATTAACTGAATCAAAGCAATAACAGTTTTTTAAAGCTTGAGAATATAGTTAAATAATCTATTAAATATGGTATTAAATGTGCTTGTAATAAAATCTTTGGCATAGCAGAGGAATGTTTGTCCCCCCCAAAAAAAATCAATTCAAAGACAAAAAAATAAAAAAACATAAGAAAATTAGGCTTTATAATTCATTCTTAATTTTAAATTTATTTGCATTTACTTTTCTTTTCTGTGTCTTGCCTTAGGGATGTCACCCTGAAACAGTGAAATCTATCAGCATTTCTTGTTGGTTGTCTATCACAATCCCAGACCTTCTGGAGACCAAAGAGAAAAGTGGGGGGTTGTGGGGGTAGGGAAGGAAAAAATGAAGCAAGATGGGATGGGGGGGCACCTGGGTGGCTCAGTGGGTTAAGCCTCTGCCTTCAGTTCAGGTCATGATCTTGGGGTCCTGGGATCGAGCCCCCCATCAGGCTCCCTGCTCAGCAGGGAACCTGCTTCCCTCTCTCTTTCTGACTGCCTCTCTGCCTACTTGTGATCTCTGTCTGTCAAATAAATAAATAAATAAATCTTAAAAAAAAAAAAAAAGATGGGATTGGGAGGGAGACAAACCATAAGAGACTCTTAATCTCACAAAACAAATTGAGGATTGCTGGGGGTGGAGGGTGGTGTAGAGAAGGTGGTGGGGTTATGGACATTGGGGAGGGTATGTGATACGGTGAGTGCTGTGAAGTGTGTAAGCCTGATGATTCACAAACCTGTATCCCTGGGGCAAATAATATATGTTAATAAAAATAAATAACAATAAAAAAAAAAAGAAAAGCAACTCCTGGCAATTTTCTTCTCATTTTCTGACTAGCCATTTTTTCACTTTGGTTAAAGCTTTTGGCAAGGTTGAAGTTAAACCTTACCCTAGATCTCTCCTTTCTCAGTAGGTAATTGAAGTAAATGCAGATCTCTAGAATTTTTAATGGTGTAATATCAAAACACATATTGTCACATGCCTGAGCTTTCTTTAAGCTCTGAAGCCACACAGTAATATATCTGCTGCATTTCAAAATGGGGACAGCATAGAACAAGGTCAGTAAAATGTGTGAGGTGAGTGGTTTGCTGCTGTTGTTTTTAGAACAAGTTCAATAAGCTACGGTGTCCTTATCAAACTACCAAGTTTCTTGATAGGATCTGACGTGTGAGGTACATAAACCTGTTCTGTTGTATCAGTGTGGCCTGTATGGAAAAGGTTAGATGAATGCAGAATATTGCCCAAACATGCTGTTTAATCTTGGTGATAACAAGGAAAAAAAAATAGAGGTGTGAAGTGAGTTACCATTGAGGGTTGTATCAGCATAAGCAATTTGTATGTACGGGGTGTAAAGAAGTTAAGAGGGGTTACATTCTTTAACACTGTCATTCACAAAAAAAAAAGGGGGGGTCTGGCTCCTCTATGGTTTTGACTCGGTTCCAATGACTTTATACAGTTTATCAGGTGCTACCACTTCTGCTTACTAGAAAGCAGGAAGTTTTCCTGCCACACATATATTTTATCTTCTTGATTTACCTTTTAATGAAAAGAAGTGAAACTGAAGCCATATTTTAAAGAAATCCTTTCTAAGAAGAATTTGATGAAATTTTAATTCCAAGAACACCAAATCTAATGGAGATGGATATTAGAAGTCCCCTGCTTATAGAAAGAATACTCATTTATTCCCCCAAATCCCCCTCACCAAAGCCCTACAGGATATCTTTGTCACAGGTGCTAAGAGTTTCATTAATCCCTGTGCAGAGTTATTTTCAGTGGTGTACTGGTAAAATGGAAAGAAACAAAAAACCCTGATTTGTAGCATTTGCAGATTTCCATGGTTTAAATACCACAGCTGACTTCAAGCCACCAAAGGAAGCCCCAATATACAACTGGTTATTTTTCCCATTCTGTTTCACAGTGAGCTAAAAGCTTATATAGTAACTCTTGCACGGGCACCAAAGAACTAACAAAAGCTTTTAAACTTTTTCCAAGAACACAATCTTCATGTGTATTTCTATTTTATGTGATTACTTCACGTAATTTGGTCAAGTTCTAAGTTCTAGTAACATCCGCATACTATGTTTTTATGACTAGTTTGAATCTTTAGATTCTCTTTCAACAAAGTTTTCCAAAGCCACTTGGCTCATGTTTATTTTTCCCTCTGCCTGTCATTTTTGCCTCAGTCATATGTCCAACTCAAGAAGCAACCACATCTCACAGAAAAAAAGTAGGGGGGAGGAAGTAAGGAAATGTAATTACAGTTCTTTGAATTATTTCTTATAAGTGATAACATACCAATTCATCATTTAATTTTTTTGAAGGTATTTTGGGTTGGGAATAGAGAATCCTACCTGGAGAGAAAAGAAGACTGGTTTCTAATTAAAATGCAGACAGGAGTCTGGTCTCTCTCCACATCTGCTGGAAATTATTCCTTTAAGGTTAGATCATGGTATTAATTCATGTTACTTGTTCAGCAAAAACAACTTCTAGAGGCTTTCTCCTCAGCACCAGTCACAAAGAAGGTATTCTTGGTCTTTTAGGAAATTATAGCCTTTCATCTTCATGATGCCAAAAATAGATAATTGTTGCTAAAGTTCTGATACTTTTTATTAATTAAAATAGTTTCGAGAGCAGGAAACTCTTAAGTGAGTTTCCCATTTTTTTCTGCATTTAATCTAGTTGGAGGTTTAATATTCAAAATTTTAATTGAAGGGTATCATGTATAGAAAATAAATGACTAAAGTAGAATATATTTTATGGTTAATTTTCAAGAGTTATGAGTACACTTAAAATTTGTGAGTTTCCTTTTTTTTTTATGAACATATAATGTATTATTTGCCCCCGGAGTACAGGTCTGTGACTCATCAGTCTTACACAATTCACAGCACTCACCATAGCACATAGCCTCCCCAGTGTCCATCACCCAACCAACATATCCCTCCCCAACCCCAGCAATCCTCAGTTTGTTTTGTGATAATAGTTATACTTCAGT